AATATTGGGGTTATATTATTTCCCATTGATTGATAAAACTCAGCAAATTCAAATGCCTACCTTTTCTTCTACTACTTTGAAGGAATAATTGAACAAACTGTTATCCACAATAACAACTGAATATTTGGCAGCAGTAAGAGGCAGAGTGTCCAGAAAGAGTAACAGTGCCAAGTGTTCCCCACCCTGGTTATCTGAAATGTGTTCAATTCTGTAAGTAATATTTAAGGAATGACATCCAGAGTAGGGCAGCCAGAATGGTGAAGGGTCTTGAGATTTTGCTATCCTGGGCTTAATTGAAGGAGCTGGGGATATTTAGCCTGGAGAAGAGAAAATTGAGCAGGGGACATGATAGCTGTCTTCTGGAAGGATTAGACTAAGTCTGATCTGGAGGGCAGAAATAGGAAAACTGGGTGTAGAGGCAGATTTAGGCACAGTTTAGGGAAAAGCTTTTTAAAAAACCAGTATTGATACTCAAAAGTGAAATGGACTGTCATTTGAAGTCTTCATGGAAAATGAGGATGATCATTTTTCAGGAGAGTTGTAGAGAGAGTTCTCTGTTAAATATGAGTTGAACCAGATGGCCTGTCCAGGTGAGACGATTAAAGTGAGTCTTGCCTTGTTAAAGACTGAAGTGTGGCTTTGCCAATCTGTGATGGATGTGGTGATGGAAGTTGAAAGTTAAGGAGAGGAATTGTGAGAATGATATATCTGATGGTTACTAATAATACTTTTGTGGCTTAAGACTACGTTTAATGATAATTCCCAACATTTTGCAACTTTTTGATCATGTCTGTTGTATTTGAAAGTTTTCATTCCATTTATATTGGGTAGGGCTTAATATGTTATTATGTTAGGCCTCTTACTCAATTTTGATTCTATTTTTTTTTTTTAGCAGTTCTGTCATTTCCAACCTGTCCCTCTTATAAAGCACTCTCTCATAGTAAAAACTATGTTAGTTGTTTATTAAGATTTTGTATACTGGGAGGGAAAAATCTTGAAATATGAAGTAGTTTTGAGTTGAGAGAGTTGAAGAGGAGGAGACGAGGTGATCAGAACCAGATGTACTTCAGGCATGGAAGTTCGTTTTGCCAGAGAGTCCTTGTTGGCTAGATGAATTTTTCAAAGCTAGATCACTGGTCACTTGGTGGCTGGTGTAGGGAGATGGGTAGCTATTTGATACTTGAGTCTTCCAGGTGAGCAGGAAAGAGTAGAGAAGAGTATTTGGGTTTTATTACTCTCCATTAAAACCAGGCAAACAGCCAGAAGGGCAATTCTATAGGTCTGTCTTTGAGGACATCTTTTGAAGCATTTTTATGCCCAGTAGAAATTATAGAATTTATTTTGGAAAAGATGAACTAATTTCCAGAGAATGTGGAGAATTTGAATTCTGTTCTTCATATTGAAGGAAATAATTTGAGGCATTTTAAAGAGCAATTTTATTTCCCTTGATAGTATTCAGTTCCTTTAACACTGTTTGAAGGAGGTAACAATTGTAAGGAGGTAACAATTTTAAGGAGGTTTCAATGGCTATGGTGTCTGTTGGGAGAAGAGTACTAGGAAATAACTGTGGTGTATAAAAACAAAAAAAAGCCTTAAAAGACAGCACAATTCAATAAGCTAGGAAACAAAGGTGACATGAGTCTTTAAAAAAATTCATTATTTTTTTCAAAGATCCGCCATCTTTCCCTTCCACTCCTTCACCCCCAATAAGAAAGCAGAAAAAAAACAAAATCTGTTACAAACAGGTATAGTCAAGCAAAAAAATCCACACATTTCAATGTCATATATATTATACATGTACATACACATACACACCCACACATACATAGGTATATATGTATATCCCTATATGTGTATATAAGTATATGTATATATACACATACACATGCATACATACACACATATGAATGACTGACTCCATCTGCTTTCTGAATCCATCACCTTTCTGTTTGAAGGTGGGTAGCATATCATGAATCTTCTGAAATTATGGATGGTTATTGTATTGATCAGCTTCTAAGACCTTCAAAGCTGATTGTCTTTACTATATTGCTATCATATTCATTGTTATTCTGGTTCTGCTTATTTTATTCTTCTCAGTTCATATAAATTTTCCCAGGTTGCTCTGAAACCATCTCCTTTGTTATGGAACTGTATTCAGTCATATTCGTATACCATAACTTGATCATTCACCAGTCGATGAGCGACTCCTCAGCCTGTATTTCTTTGCTATCTCAAACAGAGCTGCTATAAATATTTTTGAACATGTGGGTCCTTTCTCTTTTTCTCTGATATTTTTTATGGTATGTTCACTGAGAATTATCACTAGATCAGAGTTTATACTTTTTTTAATATCAGAAGCTTTTTTGCCCAGTTTTTATACACTTTTGGGGCACAGTTCCAAATTGTTTTCTAAAGAATGGCTGGAGGGGCAGCTAGGTGGCACAGTGGATAGAGCACCGGCCCTGAAGTCAAGAGGACCTGAGTTCAAATCCGGCCTTAGACCAAACACTTGACACGTACTAACTGTGTGACCTTAGGCAAGTCACTTAACCCTGATTACCTCACTAAAAAAAAAAAAAAAAAAGAATGGTTGGACCAGTTCATAAGTACACCAACAAAACATTTATATACCTGTTTTCCCACAGCTCGTCTAGCATTTGTCACTTTCTTTTATTTTGCCAATCTGACGGATATGAGGTAGAACATTAGAATTGCTTTAATTTGCATTTCTCTAATTATTAGTGATTTAGCATTTTTTTTCATATGGTCGTATACTGCTTGGATTTCTTTCTCTGAAAACTGCTTATTCATATACCATGATCATTTATCAATAATTGTTGCATATTGGAAATGTGACCTTTATTAGAGAAACTTGGTGTAAGTTTTCCCAGTTACCTGCTTCTCTTCTCATTTTAGGCATGTTGGTTTTGTTTGTGTTAAAAAAAAAACTTTAATTTTATGTAATCAGACTTGTCCATTTTATTGTCTGTGATCTCTTCTCCTATCCATTAATCTGAAAGGTAATTTTTTCTTTTTTCCTCTAATTTGTTTATTATGTCACCATTTATGTTTAAATCATATATATGTATATGTATATATACACACATACATATGTATATATACACACATATACGTATACATATGTATTTGGAGCTTATCCTGTGTGAGGTGTTAGCCTATACCTACTTTGTGTTAGATTAGTTTCCCAGCAGTTTTTGTTTAATAATGTTGAATAATTTTGTTGAATGATAAACCTCAATACCTTGAATCTTTAAATTTATCAGTTTGTTGTATATTATTTACCTAATCTGGTGTACTGATTGACCTCTTTGTTTCTTAACCAGCGTCAAATTCTTTTGATGATTTCTGCTCTGTAGTGTATTTTGAGATCTGGCACTCCTAGGCCCCTTTCTGTTCCACTTTTTTTTCCCCCCTTAATTCCCTTGAAATTCTTGACCTTTGGTTCCTCCAGATGAATGTTGTCATTATTTTTCTAGCCCTATAAAGTAATCTTTTGGTAGTTTGATTGCTTTGTCACTGCATAAATAATTAATTTTGGTCATGTTATCATTTTTATTATATTTGCTCAGGCTACCCATGAGCAATTAATATTTCTCCAATTATTTAGATCTGACTTTATTTATGTAAAGAATATTTTGTATTATATTCATATAATTCCTGTGTATGTCTTTGCAGGTAGACTCCCAAATATTTTATAAATTCTGTATTTGTTTTAAATTGAATCTCTATAACTTCCTACTGGTTTTAATAGGTAGTATACATAAATACTAATTATTTATATGGGTATATTTTATAGCCTGATACTTTGTTGAAGTTATTAGTTGTCTCAAGTAGTTTTTTAGTTAACTCTTTAGGGTGCTGTAAGAAGACCATCATATCATCTGTAAAAGTGATACTTTTGTTTCCTTTTTGCATGTTTATTTCCTCAGTTTCAGGATTTCTAGCACTATATTAAATAGTAACGGTGATGATGGACATCATTGATTTACCCTTTTCTAACTTTAGAGTCCTTTTTATTCCCTTTACATATAATGCTGACTCTTGGTTTCAGATAGATACTACTTATATTAAGGGAAGCTCTGTTTATTACTATGCTTTCTAGTTGTTGTCTTTTTAAACAAAACAGAAACAGGTGCTGTATCTTGTCGAAAGCCTTTTCTGCATTTATTGACATAATAATATGATCATTGTTTTTGTTATTATATGGTCAATTATGCTTACAGTTTTCCTACTATTATGCCAGCATTGCATTCCTGGTATAAATCCAGTCCGGTCGTAGTGAATAATATTTTGTACGCTGTGTTGCCCCGGTATTCTTACTAATATTTTATTTAAAAATAAGTTTTCTATGTTTTGACTCTTTCTGGTTTAGGTATTAATACCATTTTTTGTGTCATAGAGGGAATTTGGCAGGACCTCTCCTTTTGCTATTTTTTTTTCAAATTATTTAGTATTGGAACTAATTATTCTTTTAAGTGTTTGATAGAATTCATTTGTAAATCCATCTGGTTCTGGGTTTTTTTTGAGGAGGGAATTCATTTATGGTTTGTTCAATTTCTTTTTCTGAGCTTAGAAGAAATCTCCTATTTCTTGTTTTATAAATCTGGGATTTTTATATTTTCATTTAAGTTCTTGGTTTTATTGGGATATAGTTTGGCAAAATAGTTTCTAATAATTTATTTCTTCATCAGTTGTGAACTTGCCTTTTTATTTTTGATGATTTGTATTTTGAAATTTTTGGTAATTTGGTTTTCTTTTAAAAAAAGTAAGCTAATTGTTTATCTTTTTTTAAAAACTAGTTCCTAGTTTTATTTATTAATTTAATTTTTTTCTAGACTTTCAATTTTGTTGTTTTCTTTGATCTTCAGGTTTTTTGTTTGCCATTTAATTGTTTTTTTTAGCATTCTTTTGGTTTTCTAGTTTTTAAAAATTATATGCCTAATTCATTGATCTGTTCTTTTTCTTTTTTATTAATAAAGGTGTTTAGAGATCTACACTTGCTTTTAAGGACTGCTTTGGCTGAATCTCCCAAATTTTGGTATGTTGTCTCATTCCTTGTCATTATCTTTAATCCAAATTATTATGTTACCATATGTGTCTATGATTTGTTCTTTGACATTCTTTAGGATTAAGTCATTTAGTCTCCAGTTAGTTTTCATTAATTTATTGAATAGTCCTTTATTGAATATGATTTTTATAGCACTATTTTGTAAAAGATATGTTTAAAATTTCTGCTTTTCTGCACTTGTTCATGAGGTTTTTATGCCCTAAGACATGGTAAATTTTTGTAAAGTTGCCATGTATGGCTGAGAAATATGGATAATCAAATTTTTGAAATATTTTCAATCAACCAAAGTCTGCCTTTTCTCCCCCTCACTTCCCCTCACCCCCACTAAGAAAGCAGAAAAGCAAAATCTCCATTACAAACAGGTATAATCAAGCAAAACAAATCTACACATTAGTCATGTCTTCCCTGCAACCTCACATGTGTGTGTCTCTCACTGTCTACGTATGTACATACATACACACGTACCTATATGTAGATATACACACATGTGACTTAATCTGCTCTCTTGTACTTCACCTTTTTATCAGGAGGTGAGAGGCATGTGTCATGAATCTTTTGGAACTGTGGTTGGTGTTTATGTTGAGCGTTCCTAACCTTTTCAAAGTTGAATGTATCTTTACAGTATTGTTTTTATTATATAAATTGTTCTTGTTCTGCTTACTTCACTCTTTATCAGTTTTTACAAGTCTTCCCAGGTTTCTCTGAAACCATCCCTTTTGTTATTTCTTACAACACAATAGGAGTCCATCGTATTAATGTACCGTAACTTATTCAGCCTTTCCCCAGTTGATAGACATCCTCCTTGGTTTTCAATTCTTTGCCACGCAAAAGAGCTAGTATGAATATTTTTCTACATATAAGTCCTTGTCTCTTTTCTTTAATATTGTTGGGTTATAGACCCAGTAGCAGTATCACTGGGAGAAAGGACATACACAGTTTAATAACTTTTGGGACATAATTCCAGATTGCTTTCCAGAATTGCGATCAACTTTGTAAACCTGATAAGTATAAATTAGAACCTCAGTTATTTTAATATTCATTTCTCTAATTGTTAATTATTTAGACCATTTTTATATGTTTTTTGATAGCTTGACTTTCTTCCTCTAAAAACTGTCCATTCTTATCTTTTGACTGTTAATCAATTGGAGAATGGCTCTTATTCTTATAAATTTGACTTAGTTCCCTTTATAGCTTAGAAATGAGACCTTTATCAAAGAAACTTGCCACAAAGTCTTTTTTCCTAGTTATCTGCTTCTCTAATAATTTTACTTTTTTTTTTGGTGAATTTACAGTTAGGATGATTAATTGTTTATGTCCTTCCATCCTTTTCTCTTATACCCTTTCTTCTCTTTGTTTCCTGGCCCCTCTTCATAAAGAAGAGGGAGGCTGTGAGTGCAGGCTGTGCTCAACACCTGTGTTCTGTGTTTGATGCAATTTGCTTCTTTTCCTCTGCCCCTCTTTTTCCTCTCACTCAGAGGCCAATCACAGGCTCTTATCCTTTTTTTCCCCTCTTTTAAACCTCTCTTTGCCATTGATCCCCTGTGTTTGGAGTTTGTTTTGCTTATGATTAATATTTCTATTAATCTATACTTCTACCATCTCCTTTTCCCTATTTTTATATCTCACTCTGTGTGTGTGTGTGTGTATTCCCTCCTTTGACTAGTTCATTTGAGAGTGAGAGTCAATTGAGGCTGTTTCCTGTACCCATTCTTTCTTGTTTGTATAGCCTTTTACTTTTGCACTCCGAATATGTAAGATTATTTTCCCCTTCCTTTATTAACCTTTGTCTTCCCTAGGATACTCCATTTCTTCTCCCTTTCCATTTTTATTTTAAGATCATCAGAACATAACAAAGCCCTTCAGGCCCTCTCTCTTATTAGGCTATCTCTACAACTCTTGTTTGTTTGTTTGTTTGTTTTTTCCCCAGGCATTTGGGGTTAAGTGACTTGCTCAGGGTCACACGGCTAGTAAGTGTCAAGTATTTGGTCTGAGGCCAGATTTGAACTCAGGTCCTCCTCACTTCAGGGCCGGTGCTCTATTCACTGTGCCACCTAGCTGCCTCTACAACTCTTGTTGATGATAGGATTTGGAGGGGCTACATATAGCATTTCCCCATGCAGAGTATAAATGGTTGATTCTTGTTTAGTCCCTTATCATTGCATACTCATGTTTACCTTTTTATGTTTCTCTGTTTCCTGTGTTTGTATTTCATAATTTCTACTTAGCTTAGGCCTTTTCATCAGGAATTCTTGTTTGTTGCATTAAAGGTCCATTCTTCCTCCATCCTTCCCCTCTTCCCGCAAAGAATTTGTTTAGCTGAGTAAATTATTCGTGGTTGTAAACCTTTTGCCTTCTGGAATATTGTATTCTAAGTTCTTTGATTATTTTTAGTGTCAGTTGCCTAATCTTGTGTGACCCAGATTGTGACTACATGGTATAATCAGTTCTATTATATGGTATATATGTTCCCCCAAAATCACCAAGTTATGCAAAATCCGCACATAAAAACCACAAGGCTTATGAGAAAAAAGAGGTTAATGGCATAATACTAAAAAAAAAATGTTATCAGTGACACATCAAAAAAGATAGGAATCTAATAAAAATGGTAACACATTTTTATTTGTTAAATGGATTAAAAATACACAAATACTGAAATAATAGTGGCATGGTCTGCAGCCTCAGACTATTGCTCAGCTGGGGCCCCACTTCACCCCTGTTTACTGTTGACCTCTGTCTGGCAAAGTTAATGATATGGGTGAAAGAGAGGGAGACAGGGAAGCAATAAACCTTTATTAAACCCTGAGAGGTAAAAGGTGTTATGATTTTCATTTTACAGTTGAGGAAACTGAGACAAACAGAAGTTAAGCAACTTGCCCAATATCACACAGATTGCAAGTGTCTGAGGTGGGATTTGAACTCAGTTCTTCCTGATGTTCTAGGTCTAGGACTCTTTCCACAGTGGGTGGCAAATCTAGGATGCAGGGGATAGGGACTGGAGTTGTGGTATAAGGTAGAGATGTAGTACATGGTTATGAGGCAGCCCTCTTTTGTTGTTTTTTTTTTTTTGTTGGTTTTTTTTTTTTTTTTGTGAGGCAATTGGGGTTAAGTGACTTGCCCAGAGTCACACAGCTAGTAAGTGTTGTGTGTCTGAGACTGGATTTGAACTCAGGTCCTCCTGACTACAAGGCCAGTACCCTATCCACTGTGCCACCTAGCTGCCCCCAGCCAGCCCTCTTTTGCCCACAGCTCTTGCTACAATAGAAGATGTACAATAAATACAGTACTTTAACTTGAAAAAGACCTGGAGTTTGCTTGTGGAAGTGGCTGCAGCTTGTGAGTTACTGTGAAATAGTGTAGTTTTCTGTGTTCTTGCTGCTTCTCTCTGATAAAATAAGCAAACACAAAATATCCATTAGGCTCAAATGATTCCCTAATATATCAATCTTTTGGAACAGATTTGCATTTTCAAACAAGATAGCCGAACTGACTGTACTTTAGTTCTTTCTTTTGGCTGTTTGCAGTATTTTTTTGTTTGATGTGAAAGCTCTGGATTTGGGTTATAATACTTCTGGTAGGTTTACTTTTGGGATATATTTCAGGATGTGACTGGTAGATTTTTCTCTTCTCTCTTGGTCTAAGAGATCTGGATAGTTTTCTTTTCTAATTTCTTGAAATGCAATGCCTACATTCTTTCTAGTCGTGTCTTTCAGTGATTCTTAAAAGATCTTTTCTTGATCTGTTTTCTAGGTCAGTTGTTTTGGTTATAAGATGCCTTATATTTTCTTCTATTCATTTTCAGCCTTTTGATTCTGTTTTTATATATCTTGGTTTTTTTTATGGGATTATTGGTCCATTCTGATTTTCAGAGAATTTTTTTCCTTAGGTATAGTTTGGCACCTCTTGTTCCAAGCTGTTAATTCTATTTCCAATTCTTTCTTCTGTAGCTCACATTTCTTTTACAATTTTTTCCCACTAGTGCTCTCATTTCACTTTTTAAAACTCTTTAAAAAAAAAACAAACCTCTTGCTTCATCTCTTCCAGGAATTCTAGTTCAACTTGGGCTGACTATGTTTTTCTTTGAAGCTTTACTTATAGATGTTTTGGAATCATTCTGTTCTTTCAGTTGTTATCTTAAGCATCACTGTCACCCTAAAAGCTCTTTATGGTAGGATTCTTTTTGTTTTCTCCTTCTTTTGGCCCACTTTCCAACTTCAGATTTTATGTTAGGCTGCCAAACCCAGCCAGTATCAGCCAACTGGAAAACTTCTCTGGTTGAGAATGACAGAACTTCAGGCTCCTTTTTGGTCTAGGATTCCTGCCCTAGTTATTCTGCCACAGATTTCAGACCAGAGTAGAGGCTGGAACTGAAACTGCATTCTGCTCATGTAGTCCTGAAGCTGCTGCTATGTATTTGGTCCTTCTTAAGTACACAGCCCAGGGTGACTGCTCCTTATTCTGGTACACCACACCTGAGTGCAGGTCCCTTTGTCAGTCTGCCCCGCATCTGTGAACTGGTACTCACTAATGAGTGACAAAGCTGCCACTTTAATCCTGTTCCTACATTTTGCACAGAGTTGGGCTCCTTTATAAATAGTATGTATCTGGGATCTTTTCTTGCCTTGGTATACAGCTGCAGCCTTCTTTCATTCCCTGTGTTTGAATGCTCATCACCATTGTTCTTGGATACACTTTGTCTCTGGTGTCTATAGGCCTCTCCATCTATGTGAGCTTGACCTTGGATGGAAAAATGACTTACTGTAGTCTGGTACATTTTCTAGATTTTTGTGGAGAAGTTGTTAGGGAAAACTCAGTTGTGGTTCCTGTTACTCCACAATCCTGGTTCTGCCTCTCAGGTTACTCTTTTCTATTCCTATTCAAGAATCATGACATCTGTAATATAAATTATCTAGCATATCTGATTCTTGTGAAATTCTTTTCAGGCTTTAACTTTTTTCTTGTTTATTTTTGGT